GATTTTCTCATTAGTTTAAGAAAACAAAAAAAAAACATTATTCTGCTAAAACGGCTGGTGTTTTTGAAGTTTTCTAAAATTGTTTTTTTTTCCATATGAAAATTTAGTTCGTTTTAATGGTCTTGATTTCAAGTTATATTTTTCATCCCAATTTTATAAGAAGAGGAATCAGTCGTTATAAGGTCGTGATGAGATAGGTATTACCATTGAGCAGTGTTGTGGTGACAAAATAAGTGGTGGTTTTTGAGGTGGTAGTGGTTGTTGCACTGGCATTTGAACCATTCTTGGCGCAGGTAATACTGGCTGTACAAGGTTTTGCTCCCTTGCTTGTTCATACTGGTCTGCTAGATATTGCTGAGAAACGACTGGTTTTCGTGGGTTTTCAGAGACTGGTATTTTTGGATTATGTATAACAGGATGTGAATTCTGTATTGGTGACTTTTCGTAACTGTTGGCCGCAGGAATTGGCCGAGCCCTTGGCATTACAGAATCTGATGGTCTTACATGGTTTAAACTTTCGTCCCCGTTTTCACCATCAAAGTCTAGCTCATCTTCTCTAACAATTTTTTCGTTCCCCATTTCGTCCTTAGCTTCTTTGCTTACTTCGCTGTCTTTTGGCCATAGCTGAAACTATAAATAACATTCCAAATTTGATTCACTGGGGTCGAGTCTAGGAAATGAAAAATTTTTTATCAATCAATTTAGAAGCAATCTTCACTTTTTTTTTCAGTCTGATTTTTAAAACTTTCCAGCAGCCAAATGCCAGACGTTCCTGGGGTAACTGATTTTTTTAAAAAATGAAGTTTAACATGTTTTTGACTAGGGATGGCACAATAGAATCTAGTGAGTTGTTAGTTGGGTATTTTAAAGAAAATTTTATTTGAAGTTGTAGGCGTAGAACATAGAGCGAATCGAAAAGCGAACGAGTTAGTTCCTTGCTTAAAGAAGTTTCGTCTAATTTCTCATTTTGAATTATAAATTTCATTGTTTTCCGTCGTCTTCTTTATTTTTAATTGATTTCATTCTAACGTAAATGAGTTAATCTCTAGCTAAGCAGACGCGCATGCGCATTGAGTGTCTGCAGGATTTTGATTTTTGCAATGTGATGTGGGGTTAATTAACCGTCTTATTATTCAGCCTAACTCAAAAAGCACTATTTGAGTAACATAATATTTGGAGAAGTGAAATGTAAGCTGCCTTCTGGTCCAAGTCCTTGTTTAAAAACTAGTTTGAGGATGACGTTATACAACTCTTGGTCCTAACTTCGAAGTTTGAAGAGACTGCAAAAGCGGTTTGTTATTTGGTTGAAAAAATCCAAAAGTTTGCTTTGTTACGAAGAAAAGACATATTATGAAGCGGTTTTTTGCAACAATAACTGCAAGCTAGCAATAGAAAAAGTGAGCTGTAGAGAGGAAGGTAAAAGCGAATGAAATCTTGGAGATGTAAACTATGAGGGGAATAAAATAATGAAAGGAAAATTTTTTTTTGAAACGCGGGTGTCAGCACTAACATTAGAAGAACCATCGCTTTCATCTTCAGTAATTTCAATGCACTTATATCTTTTTGTTTTCATTGGGGAAGATGGCTTTTTGTTAATCAGTCGTCGAACTTCCTCGATTCGCCGTTGATATCGTGCCACAGCACTGTTTGCCTAAAATTTTATTTATAAATCGCTATTAGTAGTTTACTTTATTGTTAATTGCTTTTTTCACTACAAAAAAAATGGTATGAGGGATACATAGTTTTTACAATTGTCGTATCAGTTTTGACCACTGAATTTTAAATAGTCATAAGTCTGCTGAGTTTATCACATCTACGTCTACTGCACTGTTTTTTTTCGGAAGGAAGCGAGGGGTGGAGAGGTAGTATACTGACGAAGAAATGCTTAAAAGTAGTCTGGTATTTATCTAGTTGCTTTTTTCTTTTCCAAAAAAGTACTTTTAGCAATACCTGTTCAAGTCATTTTTGTCTGTGTTCAACGTACATGGGTTTTATTAGCTTTGTACAGAAGTTAGCATTTATACGCGGGATTTTTGGAAGGAAATTTGTTTCTCTAAAAGTTGCTTAAGCAGCGTTAATTTTTATGGGAATAGTCATTTCTGTTTGTAATTTGACAAAGAATACATTTGATGATAGGAAGTTACTTCAAATCAAATTTTTTGAGAAAACAACAAATAAGTAACAATAGGTAAAGATTATTTTTTTTAATTGTCAGTTTGTCTTTCTTCTCACTGGATTTTTTTTTTTTTTTTTTTTTTTTTTTTGAAGATGAA